GGGGGGGGGGGGGGGGGGGGGGGGGGGGGGGCACCGAGATTCGTGAAGAAATTTAAAGTCGTCTTGAAATATTAGAAGCGTGGAAATTTAAATGCGCTTACGCGTTCACCGATATACAAAGAATTTATACGGAATTAATTATGAAATAAAGTGTCGGTAAAGTAAAATAACTACAATAATAACTTATGCATAATAATCGTCACGAAAACCGTCCAAAAAAAGCCCACAGACGGACGAACCCCGCCCCGCCCCGACCGACCTGTTGACCGCCTGAGGCAGATCGCTGCTGCTCCGTCCCCTCCCGCTCGACGTCTCGCTGCCGACCATGCTCCGCAGCTCCTCGTTCGCGTCCAGCAGCTTCTTATTGGCTTGGCTGTCGAGTTTTTAATTTAGAAATAAATTTTATATAAAATGTAAATCATATTTAACTTTTATTTTTCAATCCGAACGGATGCTATAAATTCAGTTGTGTTTTATTTAGCTTCATTTAAATGCAAAATAAAACTCACTGGAGGAGCTGGATCTGTCGCCGGAGGCAATCGAGGTGATGCGCGTGCTCGAGCGACTGCTGTCTCTCGCTGCAAAAAAAAAAAAAAAATTGGCAAAAATTCTTGCTTTCCTGCGTAGGAGCGTTTAGTTAACAATTAATTAACATTTGCTTTTCTCGGGAGGGAAAATGGATTTTTGGTTGGATTAGGCAATAAATGAAACAAATAGTTATATAATTATTTTCTGCTGTCGTTAAAACTGACAGGGTCGTTTTAGCAAGAAACTCTGCAAAAAAATTTGCAAATAACTTGTCTGTATGCGGTTTCAAGTGCGCAAAACTCTGGTATCTTAGTAAAAAAATTACAGTAAAATATTTAAAGGAGATATCTAGATCAATAGGATGATTAAGTATTTAAAATTCAGTACAACATCATTTTATATGTAATTAACATTGGATTGATCACTGGGAAAGGGCAGTTATCGCTCAATTATTTAATTTCTTTTTTTTTTTCAAAAATCCGCGCTAAGCACAAAATTACCATTTCATCAAAAATTACCATTTCACCCAAAAGAACCATTTTACCAAAAACCACGCTTTCCATCAAACTGACCTTTTCGCCAAAATGAGCCTTTTACCTGCTGAGCTGGCGGGACTTGTCCTCGTACTGCACGCGCACCCCCGCGAGCTGGGAGCGGAGCATGGCCAACTCGGTCTGCGTCTCGGTCAGGGTCATCTGGAGGTGGCGGTTCTCGTCGCTGGTCTCCTCGACCTTGCGGCGGACCTCTTGGGTCTCCTTTAGCCGCTGCTCTTGGAGCCACACGTCTGCCTGTTGGGGGAGAGGGGGGGGGGGGGGAGAGGGGGGGGTTTAGGGAATGGTAAGGCCGATAATTTTTGGATTGGCTTTTTGGGTTTATTTGGGTTCCGTGCTTTTAGATAGGCAATACCGTCGCGTTCAGAAATGGTTCGCTAGCTCAAGATAGATGTCACTGTATTCGCTCCACGTTTTAACGACTCTCCGCGGCGGGCACGGACGGAAAAGAAAAATTCCGGAGGGGAAAGGCAATCCAAAAACCGGTCTGACACCCGCGAACCTTCTGGAAGAACTGAAAGTAAGCCTGCAGCTGCTCCCGTTCGCGGATCATCTGGTCGCGGAGGGTGAGGTGCACGGCCTCCGCCTCCCGGCGGGCCTCCTCCTTGGCCTTGGCGGCCGCCTGCGCGACGGTGTTCGCCAGCTCGTCCTCGAGGGTCTGCACGTCCAGCTCCCGCTCTTCTCGCTCTCTGAGACACCAACATAAATATATATTATATTGTCATTATAATTGGCATAATAATTGGCATAATGATTGGCATAATAATTGACATAATAATTGACATAATAATTGGCATGATAATTGGCATAATAATCGTAATAAAAATTGTCATAACTCTGTCCAATCCCGACCCGCGAATCGTGTCGGACCGATCGGGTTGGCTCGCTTAGGCCTCGAAGCTCGGAAATTAGAGGTCTCTGATGAATTGTTCGCCCGACCGACTCGACGGCCCGACACGCCCGACACGCCGGTCGGGTCGGTCCGATCGAGTCCATCCTAAATCTTCGCCGATCGAAAGAATTCGACATTCTAACGACTTGAAGGGAACTCGCAGGAAATTTGCAATCGATCGAATCCGCGACAACCTGAGATCTGAAAGGCCTTATGTCCGCCGGGCCGAATTTGATCCCCACGCGCGTCGAAAATCCAATTCCATTCGCTCAATTTTTTGCTCCATTCGATTCCGAAAGGAAGAACCCTGCGGTTCACGGGCGGAGATGAGAGAGCAGACTCCCTCGAGAAGCAGCGATGCCGAATTTTCCTCTGTGCGAGCCGCAAAATTGTTGGTCGGCCTAGCAAAATTTCGGCGAACCTATAAAGCACCTCACCTCCTATAAAGCACCTCACCATCTGTAAAGCACCTCACCTCCTATAAAGCATTTCACCTCCTATAAAGCACCTCACCTCCTATAAAGCACCTCACCATCTGTAAAGCACCTCACCTCCTATAAAGCACCTCCAGCTTCCGGTTCTCGTCCGAGATCCTCTGCATGTCGCCGAGCGTCTTGGACAGGATCTCCTCCACATCGCGGCTCTCCTCCGCCGAGAACTTCCGCCGCAGCTTCCTCGGGGAGGCGTCCGGGGTCCCCCTGTCCGGGATTCCGAGAAAAATTCCTAATGAATTCCTAATGAATTCGTAATGAATGGAAGGATTACTTAAAGAGGTAATGACAGTCCGGAAGTTTTGGAACCAAACCGGGAAATGTCAGTCTTAATTGTTCCATAATAATAATATTAATATATTATATTTATGGTTTTTATTGCAATGAGGAAACGAAGCAAGGGCATTTAAAAAATAAGTCAGTAAATTATTTGCGACAGGTTTTGCGCAAAAAAAAAAATGTTTCCCCGGTGCAAGAAAAACGATTAGGAGAAATCATCCGGGTCCGATGCTGCATTTCGAATTTCTTCTCAAATTTCTCATTTCGCGACGAAAGTTTCCGTTCGGGAAAATTTGCACTTTCGGGAACATCGCCTGCAAATTTCGCCGGCAAATTTCGCATCTTAACTCCCGTGCAGAATCCGAAAGGGCGGGGCCCGCGGGATTCCCCGTCGCGACGAGGAAAGAAGCGGAGATAAAGGAAGGCGAAATCCTCCCGCATTAAGCGAGTTAAGCTAGCTTGAGTCATAGCATTTGAGTCATTTCCCAGAGTCAGATAGCGCGTTATCGCATGTCGCACATCGTTTACAGGCTCGAAAGAGCCAAAACCCCATCGATAACGTCTTGGGGGGCATGGGGGGCATGCGGGGGGGGGGGGCAGATTTCCCGTTTTGCGCCCACGACACGAGACAGGAATCCACCCTCGTGCCAGCCTGGTGCCAGCCTCGTATCAGCGGCCTGCAAACAGCGCGGAATTCGGCCGAAGGGTCACTTTCGCAAACAAGGGCAGGGCTGCACGCCGGGAACGCGATTCATCGCACTCGCCCCGGTCGATGAATGGGGGACGACACGTTTTTTCTCGCCCGTTTCGGACTGCTATGTAAAGAGCGTGACGCCGAGGAATCCCGAGGGAATGCCTCCGCGTTCCTTCCGATCCGCTACGTTCGGGGAAGACGGTCGACCGGTCCGGATGTCGTCGGCGAGTTCCGCGTAACGGACGACGTGAACTTCCACGTCCGTCTTCCCCCGAAATCCTCCACATCCATCTGCCCCCACGAACCTCCACATCCATCCGGCCCAGGAATCCTCCACATCCACCTGCTCTAGCAATCCTCCACATCCACCTGCCCTAGCAATCTTCCACATCCATCTGGCTTTGTAATCCTCCCATCCACCTGCCCTAGCAATCCTCCACATCCGTCTGGCTTTGCAATCCTCCACATCCATCTGGCTTTGCAATCCTCCACATCCACCTGCCCTAGCAATCTTCTACATCCACCTGCCCTAGCAATCTTCTACATCCACCTGCCCTAGCAATTCTCCACATCCACCTGCCCAGGAACTCACGAAGAGAATATCTGCTGTTCCAGTCCGAGAAGCTGGCTCTTCCTCCTCTCGCGGCTCCTCTCGATCTCTCCCTCGTTCCCCGTCCAGCCGCGAGGCTGCAGGTCCAGGAACTCCCGGAACCGCCGGCCGAAGTCCTCGAACGAGACCCGCCCGTCCCCGTCCCGGTCCAGATCCTCGAAGATCACCTGCACATCCTCCCCGCAGATCCCGAACGTCCCGCACACATCCTCCAACTCCTCCCTCCCGATGAACCCGCTCCCCCGCGTGTCACATTTCTCGAAGAGAACGACCAGCAGATCCTCCAGATTGTCTGCCATCGCTCCGCTTCACCATCTTCCTGGACGAACGGCAACGGAAATGGCAAAATCCGGACTCCCAAACGCGATAAATCACATAAATCACATAAATTACATCCAACAAACCGCACTTCCCACACTGAAACGCGGTGAGAAATTTCCTCGCTTCTGCAAACTGGACAGATTAGATATTGCTTCCCTCTAGTTTCTCCCTGCACCTTCCTTATTCCCGAATGAAGCGTATCGCGGCCGAGGATGGAGAAAACAGCTGAGAGTACAGATACCGGTATCATCAATCCATCCATCAATCCATCCTTCAATCCATCCATCAATCCATCCATCAATCCATCCATCAATTCATCCTTCAATTCATCCATCAATTCATCCTTCAATCCATCCATCAATCCATCCATCAATCCATCCATCAATTCATCAATTCATGAACCCATCCCCCTCATGCAAAACGTGGGGAGCATGCGGTGAAAGAGAAAGGAAGCGGTTAGGGCCGTCGGTTGGCCATAACTGCTCGTGACGCTGCTCTAACCGCTGCTCTAACCGCTGCTCTGACCGCTGCTCACGAAGAGAAAGATAATTAATTCAGCTTCTCTCCATGCTGAATGTTTCATTCTAAAAAAAAATGCGTACAACTCTGACCTTCAAAAAATGACTGAATGAAATGTTAATTAATGAATTGATGAATTAGTTAATTACTTATTAATGAAAAGCATTCCCCAGTCGCCACTAATGAGCGAACGATCCCTGTCTCGATTTTTTAACTGCGTTCATTTCGTACTATTTTTAAACGTCTTTACCAGATCTATCCTGAATAACATTAACGAGTGAGGAAATTCATTATTAAAATTAATATAAATAATAATGAATAATGAATTAATTAATTCCGCGTGGGAAACTTGCCTAATCATCCGAATTCCGCCGTTAATCGCCGCGAAAATGACGAGGTGCGACTCACGCAACGTCGATCGGGGAACAGTCGAGGGGAAACTGGAACGGAAAAAGCGAGGAAGCGCGAGGAAGCGCGAGGGAGCGCGAGGAAGCACTCGGGATGCCAGACGCAGGTGTGGCGGGCTCCACAAACAGCCTCATGCGGGGGACCTTCATTATCAGCCGTTACCTCATCGTCATGGATGCTGGCTTATCAAGGGCGCTGGTTTATCGAGGGCGCTGGTTTATCAAGGGCGCTGGTTTATCGAGGGCGCTGGTCTATCTAGGGCGCTGGCTTATGGAGGGAATTGGAGTGCCCACAGCCCACGTGGCGGCGCGCTTTTGCGAAAAATGCTCGCTTGTAAAAAAAAAAAAAATTGCCAAATTTATTCACGACCAACTTCGTTAAATTTTCCAATCAGCGAAAATTGAATATAGCTATTTTGTTTCATATTTAAATATCTCAGAAATAACAGATGAGACGAACAAAACTTACAATTTTTTTAAATATTTATTGTTCATTTCAATAAATCTTTTTCGGTATATGGAAATAACTATTTCAATTCCTCTTATGAAGATTCTTCGTTTTACTTTTCTGAAATAAACTCAATGAAAACCGATCAATTCAACATATCTATTATTGCAATTCCAATAAAATTGCAATGACAATCTCTTTGCACATTCGCAAGCTTGCAGGTATTACTTGAACGCTTTTCGCGCAAAAATTCGGAGTTTGGGCGCAGAAATCGAATGGCACACGTTGCAAAA